GATGGAGTGAGACTCCAACTCTAAAAAAAAAAAAAAAAAAAAATTAAAGTTGGACCAGCACTTTGAGGCTGAGATGGGAGGATCTCTTGAGCCCAGGAATTTGAGACCAGCTTGGGCAACATGGTGAATCCTTGTCTCTACAAAACAATAAAACATCAGCCAGGCCAGGTGGTGTGCGCACCTGTAGTCCTACACACTCAGGAGGCTGAAATGGGAGGATTGCATGAGCCCAGGAGTTCGAGGCTGAGGTGAGCTATGATCGCATCACAGCACTCCAGCCTGGGCCACAGAACAGAAGCTTGTTTCAACGAAAGTGGGGGGTGGGATCCCAAAGAAGGCACTCGTGGCATCGGCAGGGGCTGCCGAGGTTAGGGTGAGGGGTGCGCAGGGCAGGACCCCAGTCAACAGCGGCAATCACACCTGCCGCTACAGCAGCCGACAATAGCAATGGACAAATCCCTAGGATGCCTGGAAGGCAGGTAGCATCCAGGGCACTGAGTGCTGCTGGTTGTGTGGCTCTGATGAGCTGTCGCTCCTCGCTCAGTCTGGGGTCAAGCTCAGTCCCAGGAAGCCCGGGCAAGAGCCAGCTAGATGAGACTGATGGCATCTCTGTACTCACGTTGCACCCAGTTCCCGCTCACTGGGCTGAGGAAGTTGGGGTAGAGACCGAAGGGCTTATCGATCTTCCTGAGGACCTTGCGGATGTTCCTGACCTGCCAAGAGACGGACACCAGGTGCACCTTCACTCTCTGGAAGAAGCCAACTGACTCCCGGTGAGGGAACACTATGGTGGGTGGGGCAGGCTCCAAGCCCAGGAGCGCAGGGCCCACAAGGCGTGGGGGCAGTGGTCCAGCCCACCCCACCTTCCTGCCTGCCACCTGCCCAAGTCCACCTCCACCCCTCCTTCACCACATGCTGCTTCAGGGATCCTTTCTGCAGGGGCCATTTTGGGTGGTTTCATATAAGTGACAGCAGCTTATTTGTGAACTTTAGGTAAAACTGCCTTTTTAATAGGTCAGAAATAGTCAAAGCCAGCAATCCCACTACTGGGTATATCAATCCAAAGGAAAGGGAGTCAGCTTGTTGAGGAGATGTCTGCACTCTCGTGTTCACTGTAGCAGTATTCAAACGCCAAGGGACAGAATCATCATAAGTGTCCATCAACAAAGGATTGGACTTTAAAAAGTGGCTCATATACACAATGGAGTACAATGCAACCTTTAAAAAAAACAGAGATCTGCTATCTGCAACAATGCAGATGGACGCAGGGGACATTGTGTTACGCCCAGGCCATTCAGAAAGACAAATGTTGCAGGATCTCACTCACATGCAGAATGTAAAGTCAAACTCATGGAAGCAGAGAGCCGAAGGGTGGGAATGTGTTGGTCAATGGATACAAAATTTCAGTTAGGGGGAATGTGCTCAAGAGATCTACTGAACAACATGGTGACTATAGTTAACAAAAATGTATCCTATTCTTAAAAACTGCTTAGAGCTAAGTGTTGCTAACGTTAAATGTTCTCACCATAAGAAAAAAGCATGTAATGTAATTTTTAAAAAAAAGGGTCAAATATGGGTGATTTTTTTTTTCTAGCCAGAGTCTTATCTGTCGCCCAGGCTGGAGTGCAGTAGCACGCTCATGGCTACCACAGCCTTGACCTGCTGGGCTCAGGTGATCTTTCAGCCTCAGCCTTCCAAGTAGCTGGAACTACAGGCACATGCTACCACACCCGGGTAGTTTTAAAAAAAAATTTATTTTAGAGATGAGGTCTTGCCAAGTTGCCTAGGCTGGTCTTGAACCCCTGGGCTCAGGCAATCCTCTCACCTTGGCCTCCCAAAGTGCTAGAGTTATAGGTGTGAGCCACCACACCCAGCTGATTTCTTTCTTTTTTTTGAGTCAGAGTCTCACTCTGCTGCCCAGGCTGGAGTGCAGTGGCATGGTCACGGCCACCATGGTCTCGAACTGCTGGGCTCAGGTGATCCTTTTGCCTCAGCCTTCCAAATAACTGGAACTACAGGTGCGTGCCACCACGCCTGGCTAATTTTTTGATTTATTGTACAGATGAGGTCTCACCAAGTTGCTGGTCTCAAGTTCCTGGGCTCAGGTAATCCCAAAGTACTGGGATTATAGCCATGAGCCACCGTGTCCGGCCAAATATGGGTGACTTCATATGGTTCACCCTAATACTATGTTACTCTATTTGATACCCTGGAATCATTTTAGGGGAAGAGGCTTAGACTCCTCATTTCCTAATAGGAATTGCAGGATTTTAGTAAAAATAATAATAATTATAAAAACGACATTCCTCAGTTCCTTCTAGTCAGACCTGTTGTACACATTATCTCCAACCTCACAGCAGCCTATAAGGCCTTAGACCTCAGTTAAACAGATGATAATCAAGTCTCAGAGTCTTAGTGACCTGCCGGCAGCCAATATTCTTAAGTGGCAGAGCCAGGACGTGAGTGGGGCTGTCTGACTGCACCAACCTACATGTTCCCCACTCTGCCTGGAGCAGCCCGGTTTCAACATAGATGGTAATAACACAGCAACATGGAGCAGAGGCTGCCTCCATGGCAGCAGGAGAAGGCTGGATTTGCAACCGCTAGGGCCATGAAGGGTAAGAAGCAGAATTCAAGAGGGGCTGCTCCCTGGCACTACCCTAAATCCTACCCAGCACAGGGTCCCCAGAGAGGAAAGCCTCACAACAGTGCAGCATGCTAATAGATTTATCTGTCTACAGAGCTAGGAGCTAAGAGAGCAGCCTTTCAGCTGTCAGACCTTCTTTCCACAGGACAGCACTTGGTTTTGCCACATCTGATTTCGTATCCATTTATGTTAACGAAGTCCATTATGGGGACAGGAATGTGCTTGCACCTGAGTTATTCTCAACTGTCCTGGTGGTGAGCAGCGAAGCAGCCGAAATGAGCTCCCCTGGAGGGTGCAGGCGCTTCTAGAATTTGGGCCAATTTGTTGACTGCCAATAATTGCCTCTGTGGGAAGCATGATTGGGGGATGAAAATAGCTGGAGTATGTAAATGCAGAGAGAGATGCGACGGACGGATGAACTCCAGAGCAAAAGCCTGCAGCCCGCTGTGCTGAACTGGTCTGGAAGGAGCCAGAAAGTTCTAGGCTTGAACCCTGGCTTGATCACTGACCAGCAGGACGGCCAAGGGCAAGTTATTCAACCTTTCTGGGCCTTAGTGTCCTCTTCTGTAAAATGGGGACACCAGGAAGACACACCCCAGAGGGTTGTTGGGGGAACTCGAGCGATTATAATGTGCCCAGCACACAGCTGGTGCTCAGGCAGTGGTAGCTATTATTCCAGAAAAAGGTTCTGACAATAAGAAATATCAGGAAATGGGAATAAACTCATTTCATGAGCTTTCAAGGTGGGGAGTTCTAGGGAGGCAAGACTCCTCTCAGTGTAAAGAAAACGCCATTTTGAAGGAAGGGCTGACAGCAGGATGGACTGCTGAAAGGGGCAGTGAGCTCTGTGTCAGAGGCGTGATCAAAACGAGGCTGAGCAGCACTTCTGGAGTGGCTCAAGGACGTTGAGCAAGTAGTGGTTTCAAACTTGGCGTCGAAGCACATGAGTATTAAAATGCAGATGCCTGGGCCTGTGAGAAGCCCAGAGATCTGTCTCCTCATGGCTGAGCCAGGTGATGCTTTGAGGTTCGTGGATCACCAGGTCGGGGTGTAAATCTGTCATCTCCCAGCTCCACTGTGGTCCAAGAGGCTGGCATTCCAGGTGAAGAGAAGGCTTTGGGGGCAGGGGGCCTCCCACTCTTCTCCTTGGAGGGCTCTGGAGGGCAGGACGCCCATCGCCCTGGGCAGTACTCAGGGAGGGGCCTGTGCATATCCCTTCTTTGGGCTGAGGGTCAGACCTACAGAGACACTTTCAGACTGCAGGAACTGCCAAGGGCCATGGCACTGAGGAACAGTCCCTCTTGGAGAGCATCCCAGAAGGGCGGGTGCAGGCAGCTGTCAGGACTGGATGGGGCCCCTCTGCACCCGTGTGGCTGTGGAAGGCCGAGGCCAAAAGGAAAGAGCAGGGACATCTGCTGTGCAGTGGCACTGCGCTGCCAGCCTGCTGAGGGGGAGCTAGCCAGGCTGGTGGAAGGAGAGGCAGGCAGCTCTCACATGGAGGAGGTACATGTCCCTGACTTCTGTCCCAGGAGGCCAATTCCTGCCTTGATGTCATTTGCATTTTCTCCAGATCCCACGTATGGGTGGCTGCCTTGAGCTGGTGTGTACCAGCAGGTACCTTCTCCCTGGCAGTTTTGGCTCTCCCTGCCCTCTGGAGAACTCTGATGGCTCCGTGTGCTCAGCTTCCCCGCCCCTTGCGTCAGGCACAGTAGCCACTCTATCAGTGGTGGCTCGTGTCCCAGGATCCCCACCCACCCCCTGCTGTCCACGATGGAGGTCCCACTTGCCTCTGAAAATCCCACAGCTACCGCACGCTCATCCCTCTGCTTTCTGTGGGGAGAAGAGGTAGCTGTTTTGGGAAGGAGCAGGAAGGAGACTTGCCTTTTCAGTGAAGACGTGGTTGCCAGAGAGCTCGGTGAGGTGTAAGAACTCCAAGTGCAGGGATCCAAACTCCGCCAGGATGCTGCTGCTGCCTGCTGTGGCCCAGCCCCAGCTCCCACTGCAAAGACAGAAGCCGCCACTGTCAGTGCCTGCTGGCCAGGCTGGATCCTCTGCTGACTGACAGCGGCTGCCTAGCAGGGGGTGGGGGCGGCCATGCGCCCTACCTGGAGCTTTTGCTGTGCAATCTCACTTCATCTTCCCTGGCCCCAGGTCCTGATAAGGACACTGAGGCCAGTGAGGAGAAGTGGCATGCTGAAAGGTGTCTGGACCCAGGCCTGGGTAGCAATGTTCTTTGTTTCTATCACCAAGCAGTCCCTGTGAGACTTTGGGGCTCAAGACCTGACACAAGAGTCATGCTACATCCAGAGACGACACTAAAATGCTGTCGGGACCACAAAGACCCCACAGAACATGTCACTGCCATCCTCCGGCTAAAGCGCCAGATAGCTCACACCACTGGTTGCTCTGATGTGGAGGGTAAATGGTGCTGTGGCCTGGCCCAAAGGACGCAGACAAGAGGCAGGGGCCCCATCCACTTGTCCCTTCCCCTCTCTCCACTGTCAGTGCTACCTGGCCCTGACCTGGAGTTTCACAGAACCTACACATGACAGGCAAGCAGATCTGGCTTGATCACACACTTGGGCACTGCCAGACCCTGAGGAAGCCTCAGGTTAGGACGGGAAGAAGCAGGGGCTCTTGGAGCAAAGGATTCCTCACACCACCCATGCACTGACCATGAACGCCTCCGAGAAAGTCACATGAAGCGTTCCCAGCATGGCCCTACCATCTTGCAGAGAGGGCTCTTGGATAACCTCTCCTATGTTCCGGTGCTTGCAATGAGGAGGCAGAGGGAGGATTGCAGTCAGCCCTCACATCTGCCCCTTTTACAGATGAGGAAGGCAAGGCACAGGATAGTGATGTTCCCTGTTCGAGACCACCTCTGGGACCCAAAGCTGGCTCTGATGCCAGGCTTGTGCTAACCACTGTGTGCCAGCCTCTCTTATGATCTCATGATAATCAACAAGGATGCTGCCTTTCCAGGAACTTTCCCTTAAAATCTCCCTGGGGCCCGAGCCAGAGGGCATAGGTTCAAGTGTCTGTTAGCTGGAGACCTTGGGCAAACTGCTTAATCCTTGTGTACCTTGGTTCCTGCATCCATAAGAGGGTAAGGATGATACTTCCCACCTCCTGGGCTAATGCCTCCTCCTTCTTGGGCTTTTTTTTTTTTTTTGAGTTGAAGTCTCACAGTTGCCCTGGCTGGAGTGCATTGGCATACTCACGGACACGGCAGCCTCGACTAGAAATCCTTCCACCTCAGCCTTCCAAGTAGCTGGAACTACAGGCATGAGCCATCACGCCCAACTAATTTTTTGATTTATTGTAGTGATGAGGTCTTACCAAGTTGCCCAGGCTGGTCTCGAAATCCCGGGTTCAGGCAATTCTCTCGCCCTGACCTCCCAAAGTGCTGGGATTACAGGTGGGAGCCACTGTGCCTGCTCTTCCTGGGCTTTTGTGGGGACTAAGAGAAAACAAGGGTACAAAAGGGGGGGCAAGCTGCTTCCCCTCTGTGTGCCTCGGTTTCCTCATATGCATTATACTTATCTTTCCTGCGGGGCATTTAGGACAGCCAGGGAGACAAGATCTCTGCAAGTAGGTTGTAGGGGGCAGGGGTAAGGATGGAGCAGGGTGGCATGACCTCTTCCCATGTGTAGGGGCTCTGAGGTGCAGCCAATGTCTCTACTCCCTTGCTGGTGACAGCACTGACTTTCCAGGAACTGGGTCCTGTCCGTTCCTCTATCTACAGGGACAGGCCTTAGGAAGATAGGTGTGGTGATATAGAGGTCACTGCCATTTAAGGAGCACTGCTTTTTCTTTTTCTTTTGTTTTTAGTTGGAGTCTCGCTCTGTTACCCAGACTGGAGTGCAGTGGCACGCTCATGGCCACCGAAGCCTTAGCCCATTGGCTTCAGGTGATCCTTCCTCCTCAGCCTACCAAGTACCTGGAACTACAGGCACGTGCCACCACACTCAGCTAATTTTTTGGTTTATTGTAGAGATGAGGTCTCGCCAAGTTGCCCAGGCTGGTCTCGAACCCGTAGGGTCAGGCAATCCTCTCGCCTTTGCCTCCCAAAGTACTGGGATTATAGGCGTGAGTCACTGCACTCAGCCTATTTTTTATTTTTTTTTTGAGTTGGAGTTTCACTGTTGCCCAGGTTGGAGTACAGTGGCATGCTCCCAGCCACTACAACCTCAACCTGCTGGGCTCCAACAATCCTTCCGCCTCAGTCTTCCAAGTAGCTGGAACTACAGGCGTGCGCTACACGCCCGGCTCATTTTTGATTTATTGTAGAGATGAGGTCTTGTCATTTTTGATTTATTGTAGAGATGAGGTCAAGGCTGGTCTCAAACCCCTGGGCTCAGGCAAGCCATTTGTCTCGGCCTCCCAAAGTGCTAGGATTACAGGCTTGAGCCACTGTGCCCGGCCTGAGCACTGTTTTTTCTAGGGTGGACCCGACCCTCCTGAGGCTCTTCTCCTCTCTAAACTCCATTCTGGGGGCTGGATATTTCAGGCAAAGCAGAGAAACTTACCAGTCTCCCGGCTTTGGAAGCTGAGGGAGGACTCTGGTTTTGAGACCTTCTTTGGGGTCAGATGACTTCAGCCACCCCCTTCATCCTGTCTCCGCTTCCTTGGGTACTTCTCTGAGGGCAGGGGGTGGTGAAAGAGGGATGGATTGTACCGGAGGAGAAGCTGGACTTCTGGATAATAAACAGCTCCCATTCTAGGGCAGCTACACTGTCAGGCACTGGGACAAGTTGGTTGCATCATGACTTCATTTAAAGCCCACAAGGTAAAGCATCATTAATACCACATGCAAAGAAGGAAACTGAGGCTCACAGAGGGAGGCGAGGTTCTCAAGATCAGAGGCAGGATTCAAACTGAGGTCTTCTAGGCCTCCACCCACCCAGAGGGAAGAGGGAGTTGCCTCTCCCTGCTCTCTGTTCCTTTCCACCCCCCCACCTTCCCCCTGCCCCACTGATCTCAGTGACAGCCTCAGGCACCCACAGAGAGTTTCCTGAATAATCTACTCTTCCTGTCTTCTCAGGGAAGTTAAAGGTTAAAAAAAAAAAGCAGCTGGGCTCGGTGGCTCAGCCTGTAATCCTGCGCCTTTGGGAGGCTGAGGTGAGTGGATTGCCTGAGCCCGCGGGTTTGAGACCCTGGGCAGGCGAGACCTCATCTCTACAATAAATCAAAAAATCAGCCGGGCGTGGTAGCACATGCCTGTAATTCTGGCTACTTGGAAGGCTGAGGTGGAAGGATTGCCAGAGCCCAGCAGATTGAAGCTGAGGTGGCCGCTCCCGGCCACCGCACTCCAGTCTGGGCAACAGAGTGAGACTCCAACTCAAACAAAACAAAAAACAAAACAAACAAACAAACAAAAGCCCCCAGTCCCCACTGTCTTTTGTTCTCATGTTCCCCTACATGGGCCTTTCCTTCCTCTCTCCTGCCCCACATGCTTACTCTCCCAAGTGGCTTCCTGCAGTGGAGACAGGCAGACGGGCGGGGCCAGCCCTGGGCAATGGAGGCAGGTGGCCAGGTCTTGCCTTTCTTCTGCTTAGTTTCAAGGCAGGAGGTGACCTCAGGCAGGTTGGCTCAATTCCCTAGACCTGTTCCTTCATCCCTTAAATGACGGTACCCACGTGCCACAGAGCTATTGTAGGTGTACATGATGCACATGTAAATTATGTGTTGTTCCTGTTATTAAGTTCCTAATAGGTGCCAGGTGGTTCTGGAATCTTGACCTTCTCATCCAGCTTCAGGGGTAGGTACCATTATCTTTATTTCATAGTATGGGGTGGGGGGATACTTTCCCAAGGTCACACAGTAAATGGTAGATTTGAGTCCAAATCCAAATCTTAGGAATTCTGCTCCAAACACATCTGCTGGGCAGCATCCCAGAGACCAGGAGATCTCTGATCAGTCCTGTGAGCTTTGCCTTCCTCTCCCCTCCTCTCCCAGCCTTTCCCAGCAGGCAAGTGGGCCTGCATCCTGTGAGCTCTTCCCTGGCATGACTGGTTGCTCCAGCACCCCGCCCACCCTGGCTGTAGCTTCTTCTACAGACTTCACGTGCATAGTTCCATCATTAACTTTGTAACCAGACAGATCTGGATTCTGATTCTAAGTGCTTTGCTGCTGTGTGACCTGGGGTAAGTCACCACACCTTTCTGAGTCTCCACTTCTTAACTGGTAAAATGGGGTCCCTGTGATTGCTGTGAGGTTGAAAAGAGCATTCTTGTTACATGTGCACATCATGCCTGACATACAGCGCATGCGCAACAGATGTTAGCAACTGTGAAGGCATGTATACTTGTGGGTGGCAGGAACATGTGTGTGTATATTGTGTGTTAATGTGTGTGCCTGTGTACAGACACAAGAGCGTTGGTGACAATGGTAAGCACATATTTCTGGGTCTTCACAACTAGTGAGGATGGCAGGAGAGAGTGTGTGTGAGGCTGTGCATGGGAGAGGGCGAGTAGAAAGATGGGTTCAGCCACAGAGGTTCTTGGACTGGACACTATCACCTTCCCAGATAGCATAGTGATTCCTGCAGGTCCCTAGTCAGGTTGACTCTGCCTCGGCCTCCGGGACAGACACCAGGGAGGAGGAGCAGCTCACACCAGTTTGGGGTCAGTGGCCATGCTGGAGCCAGGCCTGGTTACCTACCCTCCCATGGGGCCCAAGTTCTCACTCTTCCTGTCGGGGTGCCCACTGCAAGCCCTGCAAGGGTGGGGGGCAGTGACGGTGGCCCAGTACCACCTGCAGGCCCTCTCTGAGGAGCTATCTCAGTGCTACATGGGCCGCATTCGGCCCTGCCGCTCTCTGTGGTGGAACAGGAAGCATTTTTAGCAGCAGTCTCTTACCCAGAGAACAAGAGGGCGATGTTGCCAGGAATATGCCTGTACATACATGCACACCGACAGCATGCACTCGGCCTAAAGTACATACGTTGCCTTCATTGGAAATATCAGGGTCTGTGTCAGAGCAAATCCGTGCTCCATGCTCTAAAGCTGACAGTCTGGTCTGGGCACAGAAGTGGAAGAGATACCCTGACGAGTTCCTATTCCAGACCCAGGGAGAGGGAGCCAGAGGGCTGTGTTTGTGTCTGGGCTTCACGACAGCTGGCTGTGTCTCTCCAGGATCAGTGTTTGTGGAGAAGGAATTTGAGCAGAGATCCAAATGTCCGGCTCTGTGGAGTCAATTGGGATTCCATCTGCCCCTGAGGGCCCCTCCCTGGCCTAGGGAGAGATTCCAGTGAGATCAACGCCCCAAGAACACTTCCCAACCTCAGAGGAGGACGGTCAGTGAGGATACTGAACATGCCAAGTCCTCTCTGTGCAAGACCGGAGAAGGGTGGTGAAGCCATGGAGACCAACATAAGGGTGTGACCTCCCTAGGATGGTCATAGAGCTGTAGGTCCTCTAACCAGAGCCCAGGGCCCTGCCTCCCCTCCCAGGCACGGCTGCAGCTGCAGCTGAGTCAAGCCTGAGGAGAGAAATCACTGCAGAAGTTGGGTGGGAAGTCCATTGTGAAGGGAACACCCAGTATGCTTCCCAGGCTTGGGGCTGCTGGAAGGCCTCGAGGGTAGCTCCAGAGAGCTGCTGGGTGCCTGGGGATGTGGCCACATGACTTCTGCTAAGTCCCTCAGGGGTGGGTGAGAGCTCCTTGAGAGCAAGGTTCTTGTCTAGGAGGGCTGGGGTCCTGAGACCACCCAGAAGCTTTGGGGGCCTCCTCACGGGGGGTAGGGACTATGTGTCTGCTGGCTCCTGAGTCCCAGTTGGGGGTTGTTGGGCCATCCTGGAGGGCTCCGAGTCAAGTCAGTGCTGTGGAATGCTCACAGAGGACAGCCAATCTCCTGGCCCTGGAAGATCAGGTCTGAGGGGACAAAATCCTGAGAACCAGATTTGGTGACAGACTCCTGCCCAGGAGTGTCCTTGAGCTAAGGGTGGTTTTCACCAAGACACAGACCTGCTGTGATTCCCAAGGTAGGTGTCTCCTCTCTCTGTGCCTCAGTTTCCACACTGTAGAAGAATGGGGTTGACACCAACTGCCCTAGAGCCTCCGCCCCAGGCGCCCACTCAGGCGAGATACACAAACAGGTGGTGGACCAGATGCAGCGAGGCCCACGTGGGGCAGCCACCGCCTACCTTTTGAAGCTCACGACACCCTTTGGGATTCCCGTGGGGGTGTTGAAGGCCGGCAGGAGCTTCTCTCCTAGCTTGATGGCCTTTATTCGGAACACCTGCAAAGGCAAGGTCAAAGGGCACTGTGAATTCGGGCTGGGTGGGGGAGGTCACTCTGAGAATTGCTGCTGGCAGGATGACGCTCAAGGCTGCAGGCCCAGAGTGGGGGGTGGCGCCTTGTGGCCTTGGCCAGCAAGCCTGGCTGGGCACCACCCCTCTAATCACATGCCCCATGGCCTCCGGTGAGGCCCGTCCCTCACAGCCTCTGTTTCTCTGTCCATAAAATGAGGACCATATTGTAAATGAGATCATCGTGAAGCCTTCAGCACAGGGTTAGGGCTATGATGAAGTCCCAGTGACTGTACCTGTGAGTGGGAGATGAAGGAAAGAAGTCATGATGGTGAGGGAGGCAGCCACCTCCACGCCCAGAGGAAGACTTGGAGGAGATGGGGCCAGTCAGGTCAGTGCCTGCCCACACCACGGGCCCAGTGCTATAAGCCAGGGGCATGGGACTTTGGTGGTGCCATTCAGACAGAGGAGAAAGAGCACTGGACTGGGAGCCAAGACCACTCCCAAGGACTGGAAAACACCTCCTGGACAAGTTTCCCCTTCCTGTGTGTAAAAGCTGAGGAAGGGCCTTTCTCCATTTGGGATTTTGATCCTACCCACTGTTCTCATTTCACAGATGGGCAGTGAGAGGGTGAATGTCTTGTCCTAAACCACCCACAGGACAGCAAGAGCCTCAAAGAGGCCCCAGGCCCCTCAAACTGCTCTTCTGAGATGCCTGGTGAACACGGAAGGACCTTCTGACTTGGCAGCACCCCTCCTAGGAATGTATTCTAAGGAAAGAAAGAAAGACGTTGTAAAGATGTGACTTTATGGTATTCCAGCATCGTTCCAGTATCAAATGGGGAGGTGGCTAAGTGGTGGCTCGCCAATCAAAGGCATGGCACATGGCCACTAAATGGTGGTGCAGAGACTACTTAATAGCAAAGGCAGGGCTCCTAGCCCAGTAAGAGAAAAACATTTCAAAACAGAGTAATTCAGCATCTGTAAAAATGATACAGCTGTGTGAGGAAGGGAAAGAAATTACACCAAGATATTAATGAAGCCTTCTCGGAGGGGTAAACGTATGGAGGATTTTTATTTGCTTTTAGTTTATTTCTATTTTCTGTGTGATTTTTTAGACAAAAAACAAACCCACAATACATGTTATTTATTTTTAAGATATGAGATACAAGCCCTCAAGCAGCCTCTCTGAGTAGGAAACGTGCGTCTTTTTCACTTCCGGAGCTCAAGGGTGACCCAGTTTGCTGACCTGTGGTTGCTGTAGAACAAAGCCTTCTAGAGTCCTGCCCCACCCGATGATTAAATACCGCAGAGGCAGCTATCCAGAGAATGCAGTGGTGGGGAATCTCTGGACACCTTAAACTAGGACTTGGATCTGTGGCTTCTGAGGTAGGGGAGGTCCTCTTGCTGAGGGAGGAGAGCCTGCACAGGGGCCGGCAGTGAAGGCCAAAGAAGACAAGAATGCCCAGTGCCAGACAGAGGGGCCCAGGAGTGGGCACAGGGACCAGTCCCATCAGAGCCACTGGGGAACTGGTCTAGAATCCAGATTCCAGCTCCACTTGTCACCCTAGAATGACAGGTCGGTTCTCTGGGGGATTCTAATGCACAGTCAGGTTTAGCAACAAGGGCCTCTTAAGGCCTCGGTTTCACTTGGGGCCCCGGATATCTTCATCTGACACTGGGGAGGTTGCCCACGGTGAACAAATGAATCCACTGGAACCAGGACCCAGACACTGAGGCTTTAGGCAACTGCTTGGCTGGCCTTGGCCCTGAGGATGCTGAGCTAACTCTTCTTAAATGTTCCTCTCTGCCAGTGATGTCCCCACCTTTGGAGGCCCTTAAGAAGGCCCTACTGCTGGGCATGGTGGCTCACGTTTGTAATTCCAGCACTTGGGGAGGTTGAGGTGAGAGAATTGCCTGAGTCCTGGGGTTTGAGACTAGCCCAGGCAACTTGGTGAGACCTCATCTCTATAATAAATCAAAAAACTAGCTGGGTGTGGTGGTATGTGCCTGTGGTTCCAGTTACTTGGAAGGCTGAGTTGCAAGGATCACCTAAATCCAGCAGGTTGAGGCTGCGGTGGCCGTGAGTGTGCCACTGCACTCCAGCCTGGGCAACAGAGTGAGTCTCCAACTAAAAAAAAAATAAAATAAATAATTGTATACCTTGCCACCTTTTAGCTGGATATAGTGGCTAATGCCTGTAATCCCAGCACTTTGGGAGGTTGAGGTGGAAGGAATGCTTGAGTCCAGGAGTTTGAGACTAGCCTGGACAGAACAGCAAGACTCTTTCTCTCTTAAAAAAAAAAAAAAAAAGAAGGTCCTGCTGCCAGTGGGCACCACAGGTCTCAGCCATTCCTGAAAGGATGCTGAGTGACCAGATAGGAGTGCCAGGTGTCTCATGTGCACAAGTTTCAGGCCCTGCAACAGCCTTGTGGGGAAGGTGCTGACCTACTCTGAGAATGAGAAAACTGAGGCTCAGAGAAGCAACTTATCCAAGGTTGTGGAGCTATTATGTGGCTCAAGCCACCTCTCCAACACAGGGATGTGGCCACAGTTCCAGAAAAGGGTGAGAGAAACTAGCAGAAATTACATTCCGGGGAGTGGGGCTGGGAGTTGGTGCCAGGTTCAGATCCTCCACAAGCAGCCGTGTGGCCGTGGGTGAGGCATACAGCATCTCTGTGCCTTGGGTTCCTCATCTGTACAACAGAATGGTGGCTTGTGCTCCGGCTGCTGAACAGGGCTTTTGTGGAAATCACACCCCACTGTCTGGTCTACATTCTGGAAAGTCAGGTTGCTGGTCCCTTCTAGGTAGCAGACAACTCAAAGCAAGCTCTCAGAACCACAGATGCCCTCAGAGAGGGAAGGAGGGAAGCAAGGAAGGAACGAAGGAAGGGAGGGAAGGGGAAAAGGACAGAAGCGGAGGGGAGGGGAAGGGAAAGAGAAGGGAAGATGGACGAAAGGAAAGATGGAAAGAAGGATAAATGAAAGGAAAGAAGGGAGGAAAGGAAGAAAAGATGGAAGAGAGGGAATAAAAAAGGATGGATGGATGGAAGGGAGGGAGGAGGGGAAGGAGAAACAGGCCTGAGGAGCCCCCCAACTTCTTCCTGAACTGCTAACCCTCACACCAGCCCCTGTGAGCCTGAGCTGTGTCCTCTTCCTCCTCCCCACATTCCACCTGCACCGACCACAGCCAGGCTGTGCGTCTGGGCATGTGCTGTGAAGAACATTTTTTCCTGCTCCTTCTGTCATTTTCCTGTCCTGGGGTTTTCAAATGAAATTCAGGCTCCGGGTGGCTCACAGCCGACGGCTCCCATCTACAATTATTTGGGGACAAATTGGTACAAGCGGTAATCTCTGCTGAGGAGATTACGCTTGATGGAGACAGGCCCGAAGCGACGGGTGAGATAAAGCATGCCGTGGCCTCTAAACCCGCCTGCAGCCCGTGGCCTTAACAGGTGAAGGGAAGCGGAATGGCTTTCTCATCAGCAGCAGTGCAGGGCAAGCGGATTATTCTGCAGCTTCCTGCCTCGCCTCCACGGCTTCTGGTGCATGGGGACAGGCACGGTTGCTCGTCTCTGGGAGGACAGAGTGGGAGCGTGCAGCCCACAGCAGCCCCTCTGAGTGACGGGGAACAGAGCTGACCAACAACTGATGTTTTGGGGACTCGGCCAGTCTCACTACCAGGTATCCGGGCAGGAGCTCCTGAGGAGGGAGGAAGAAGCCTCCAATTTCTACAGGGCTCTGTGGTTTCAAAATTCCTCCGCAGAGAAGAGAACACGGGCCGGGGTCACATTCTCTCCCTCCATCCCAAGTCACAAGAGCTCTTTGAGAGAAAAGGTCTTAGGACTATGCTGGGCAAGGAAGTGAGGCCCAGCGTGGGAGAAGGGACTGGAAAAGGCAGTGGACAGTGAGTGTGGCACGGAAGAGAGGTCCAGGTTCCCTGACTGCGCCCAGCTCTGCCTTTTGATGTGTGTGATCCACAGCCCTCTGGAAGCTCACTGGGGGGCACGGCCTTGCATTCATAGCACATGACCCGCAGTCATGTGCTGAGAACTGCAGTGGGCACCTGGCTGATGGCTGGCCCACAAGGGGAGGGCAGGGGAGGCTGTGAAGGAAAATGCCAGGGTCCGGGGGTGGGGAGGATGCTGGGGATGGCTTTATCAATCCTAAGAACCAACACTATGAAAAACAGCCCACATGTTTGCTGGACACTGTGTGGGATCTGAGTGGATGAGGTACAGGCCCTCAGGGAATGGATGACTACCTGTGGGGACAGGTGGGCTCACCTGGGCAGCAGAATTGAGGCATCAGAGAGAAAAGGAAGAAAGGTCTTTGGGGACACCTGGATAACAGGTCCTCATGGGGGGACATGGGTGGCCCTGGGCCAGTTCCCTGGCCCCTAAAGCCCCTTTGCTATGGGTGGAATGAGAGACAGGGCTGTCGAGTTCTCCACAGCCCTTTCTAGCCTGGATCATCCAGGGTAGAAGGGTCAACTCACTTCTTCTCCCGTCAGGTAGAAGGCTGAGAGGAGCCCTCCGATGTAGCGAATGTTCACCTCGAACAAGGATGCTTCTCCACTCTGCAAGACACAAAGAAGGAGGGAGGACAGTAGGGACACTTGTGAGTACAGACAAGCCCTTGAGACAGGCCGCCCCAGCCACCACCAACACCCCATACCTGTGCCTGGCTTCAGGCATGCCCCCTGGGCCAGGCAATGCAGTGGTGATACAGTGATACAGTGGTGGTTTTCATAGCCAAAGTCAAGAGGAAAGAGCACCTGCCTGGGGTGGTTCCTGCACTTCACAGCCTTCCAAATAAAAGCTGGACTTGGCTCCTTCCCCAGCCTGTGCCTGGGGCCATCGCAGCAAAGTTATGCCTGGCTGCACTCCAAGGGGCTCAGAGCCCGCCTTGAGCTCTGCCTGAGGGGAGGCAAACCCTCGGTGGGTCCCACCACATCCCCTTCCCTGGAGCCCCACAGCTTAGCAGGAAGGCGGTGAGACCCTTCGCTGGGGGGGCCGGGAGAGGGGAATTTTCTGAGACTGTGGGGCAGCCAGGACAGGGATGCCTGCAGGGCACGCCCACGTGACTTCATCATTGTGATTCTTCTTAAGTTGGGACTGCACATCAGGGTGTTGAGGCGGCATGCCAGGACTAGATCTGGGTCCAAATCCCACTTGAGCCACTTACTTGGCTCTGGCCCTCCAGGGAGGATATTTAGCCTTTCCCTGCCGAGTCTTCATCTGGGTCTGCAGAACGGGTCAGCAGCTCCTCCCACACAGGCTGCATGACAGCAGGGTGTGTAGGGAGGGCCTGCCTGGAGCAGGTAATGCCTGCTGTTCCCTCCCTTGCCCCAAGGGCTCCCCCATGGGTTTTCCACACTATAATCCTGATTACTGACAACAGTGTCCACCGTTAATCTGGGGAACTTCTCCTTGGACAGAGCACTCACCCTTTCAGCCTCCTGGCCTAGGTGAGGTCAGGTGGCAGATGTCGGGTATTGCTATTCCCATTTTTCAGACAAGAAAGCCAAGATTTAATGAGGCAGAGTAACCCCATCTCGCTTTCTTCCAGGAACACTCCCTGACCTGCCCCTGCCTGCCTGTATGTCCTCAAGTTCCCTGGGCGCCTCAGTGGCTCCCTGATACCCATCCTCTCTACTCAGAGGAGCTGCCGTCTGCACCAGGGTCGGGGGGACCAGGCGGGCCTATGAAAACACTCCTTCCTTCCTTCTCCTACCTCTGCTTTTCTCCTACTCAACAGAGGAAGTAATGGGAGGATTTGAAACCTCCTTGGCCTCACACAAACCACCAGAAGTCGAAACAAGCTTCAAAATAACCCTGTTAATTACCATGAAGATGGTGCCACTGTACACCTGCATGGGACTGTATGATGTCATAACTGCTGTCTGAGTCCTCCGTTGCATTTGGTCCTCACAGGAAGCTGTGAGGCTGGCACTATTACTACTGCTACTGTTGCCATTCCCATTGTAGGGTTGAGGAAACTGAGGCTCAGGGAGGTCAAATGATTTTCCCAGGGCTCAGAGGGTCCTTGACGTCCCGGGGTGCTCCCTAATGGCGCTACCTCCCTGACTCCCCAGGCTGTCTGTCTGCTCCGCTCTGTGTGGGCAAACCATGTCTCTGTTCCTCGGAGGCAGAGGCCCTGCCGTTGTCAGGAGCCATCCCTAGACCCACCAGAACCTGTGGCGCCCCCTAGCACTGTGGATGTGCTTCCCCCCAACACACCATCCTCCTAGTCTCCAGACCTCACTCCCCATCCATGGACACAGCCTCCCCCTGGGGAGCCAACCTTCAGGACTGACACGCTGCTTTAGTCTGGGCTGAGATCAGTGGGGGTGGGGTCTGGTGTACAACGTTTTTGTGCCATCTGGGCACATTCTCATCCCCTCTGCAAGGCCTTATCCCTGGCCAGGCATGCTTGCGAGGCTGGAGGTCCCAGACCTAACTGATGTGAGCATCCCTCACATCCTCCTCCACATCTCAAGAGGGCAGCATGGGGTGGGCTCGAGGTTGGAGCAGCTCAGAGCAAAGTCGCATCTCCCCTCACAAGCCAACTCCCCTTGCTGTTGCTGCTCTGTGTGACACATTCAGCCTTGGAGAGCGTCCTGGGTGTGAGCAGTGTGACCAAGACACACAATGACTGATCTCATGGGGCGGGAAGGCATGGATGCTCTTGGCTGTCTTTCCTCCAAGAGGGGATGCTAGGCTGGGGGGCTGTTCCTACCTCGGGTCTGCCTTAAGGGAGGGGCCTCAGCACAGAGGGCACTACAGCCCTAGTTCTGGGACTGCTCTGCTGTGCGGCCTTGGAGGGGGTCTCCAAGGACGGGGGGAGCTGGCAGCTGACCTGTGGGGCCCCTTCTGGCCCTGAAACCTGAGGGGCTCTGACTCACCACGTTCAGGTGGAAGCTCTCTTCCACCCAGGCCTTGGCCTCCTGGAACTCCTCCTTCAGCTCCATAAGGTAGAGGGTGTCGAGGGAATCGATGACTGTCGCCCCGCTGAGGCCTCCTGCAGGCACAGAGAATGGGAAGTGACCAGGGTCATCTTGTCCTCTCCCCAACTAGACAGGCTGCATTTCCCCAATGCCCCTTCAATGCTGGGGCAGGTTCCGTGGCAAAAGCTGGTCCAGGCATGACCCAGAGGGCTTCCAGTGCCACCAGCGAAGGCATGCCTGGGGCCTAGTGTCCTCCCCATGGGCTGCTTCCTCCTTAGGGTGGCAGAGAGTAGGTGGGGTTCCTGAGTTCCTGGGCTGGGTTGCTTCCCAGGCCTTGGTCCCCCCCCCACAGGTCAGCGAATCAGCCAACAATGCCAGTCAGGCGCCACCTTTGTCTCTCCCTTGGCATACAAAGACCTGAATGTGCCAGTCCCTGACTCCTCATTTTGTTCTAAGAGAAAACCTAGAGATGTTCATAAATACTTATCTGGGAATATAAATTTATTGCAGTGCCATGTATAGTGGGGGAGAGTTGGGACAAACCTAAGTCCAGCAATAGCGGATTCGTTCTATGAACTGTGGCTCAAACATAAAATAGGACACCATGCAGTCATTCACGTGGGCGAGGGAGACATTATTTATCTACTTGGGGGATATCCCTGGGGTCTGTTAAGATACAAAAAAAAAAAGCAGGCTGCAAAAAAAAGTCTAGTAAACTTTTTTTTTTTTCTGAGTTGGAGTCTCACTCTGTCACCCAGACTGGAGTGCTGTGGCACGCTCCCGGTCACCACAGCCTCAACCTGCTAGGCTTCGGCGATCCTTCTGCCTCAGTCTTTCAAACAGCCAGAACTACAGCGTGTGCTACCATGCCCAGCTCGTTTTTGCTTTATTGTAGAGATGAGGTCTCTCCAAGTTGCCTGGGCAGGTCTCGAACCCGTGGGCTCAGGCATTCTGCTTGCCTCGGCCTCCCAAAGTGCTGGGATTACAGACTGAGCCACCGAGCCCAGCTAGTAAACTTTCTTTACTGTAAACCACAATGAGTGAACACAGTGCAGCCTGGATGGATGTGATCAGTGGTTACTTTCGAGTGCAGATTTCAAGGGCTTTTTGGTTTCTTCAGTTTTGAGTTATGACAACAAGAAACTTATATCCGTTAAATGAAAAGAAAAGAAAAGAAAGTTTGGGCAACGAAACTGAAAAAATTCACAAACCACAAGTTTTGTGGCCACCCTCATTCTAGGACAGTGAGTACCCAAGTGAGCTATAAGGCCTGGCTCACAGCACTGGCTGTGAGCCTTGTCCTGGAAGCAAAGGCTGAGATCACTGCAAAATGATTGGAAACACACCACGAACTAGGCAGGATAGTCATGAGGAAGACCTCATCTGGCACAACCAGAGTCTGGAGCACAGAGGACTGCAAAGGAGGAGGGGAGGGAGAAAGGGATGTGCCTAGTGCCATCTGGAGGGCTTCTGGGAAGCGGTGACTACCTCCCATCAACTCATCACAACTACGGAGTCATTGCCGGCAGCACAGTTTCCTTTAGCGTATCTCTAGGAGGATTATGCTCCTTCAGTACCTCCTTCAGTGCGTGCTATGCCCTTCTCCAGTGGAAACTAGACTTGCCAAGCCCCACTGGAGTCTGAGGCTGGGCTTGGCTGAATTCAGAGGTAGCGCCTAATCTCCCTGATGGGTGCTTCCTAACTGCTCACACGTGTTGACTTTGCAAGCAGAGAATCCTCTGAAACTCAAAACACTTAGCCTCCTCTCTAGGTCTGGAGGAAGAGAGGAAGGAGGGGGGAGTTGGGAGGAAGGCCAGGCTGGAGGTTGAAGTCTCCAGAGGGAGGCAGAGAAGGGAGGAGGGGGCTGGGGCACCCAGCCACACGTCCTGGCATGGCTTCTGCCTTTGGGTGGAAGTAAATTTCCAGAACGTCAGCCCCTCCCACACTTAAGGGCTGGTAGGAAAACACATCCCAAAGCCAAACAGAGCTGATCCTTTGCCTGCCAGTTTATCCTAGCTGCTTCCCCTGTCGGTGACAGGGCTGAACAGAGTTCCTGGGCACATCTCTGCCCTCTCAGGGTCTGGATGGAGAGACACTGGGAGCCACAGTGAGACTGAGCGGGGTTGAGACAAGCTCAGGACACAGGGTGCTGGCCGGTGTCCATGCCTCTGACCCTGCAGCTAGAGCCCCTTTCTAATACACCACAGGGCCTCGGCCTGATTTTTTTTTTTTTGAGTTGGACTCTCACTCCATCACCCAGGCTGGAGTGCAGTAGCACGCTCATGGCCACCCTAGTGTCGACCTGCTGGGATCTGGCAATCCTTCCGCCTCAGTCTTCCAAGTAGCCAGAACTACAGGAGCGTGCTACAACACCCGCCTAGTTTTTGATTTATTGTAGAGACGAGGTTTTGCCAAGTTGCCCAGGCTGGTCTCAAAACCCCGAGCTCAGGCAATCCTCTCACCTCGGCCTCCCAAAGTGCTGGGATTATAGACATGAGCCACTGAGCCTGGCCGGCCTGATGTTTTAAGGATCTGGAAGCACCTGGGGGTTCCTGCTGCTCCACCCCTTCATTTCACAGATGAGGACACAAGAGAGGCAATGAGTCACGCTCAAGATCAGATCAAGGGAGGACTGACCCAGTCCCAGGCCAAGTGTAACATGTTTCCACAGCGGCACGGGACCTCTCGCTTCTCCGTGAAAACAATTTCGGATCTGATTGCTAACTCACCCCACCCTCTGATCAGTTACAGCTTGAGAGGCCCAGGCTGAGTGTCCTTCAAGGCCGGGGAGAGGTGGCCTGCAGTATCTGATTTCTGAATCCTGCCCTGGGCTGCCTGGTGTTTTTACCCCGGCCAAGCCGGGAAGGCGGCCAGGACTCCTCGTGACCAGCTCTGCCCCGTGACGTCCCTGGGGATCCAGCTGAGAAGGCAGCTTGCTAAGAGATTTGTTGGCAAGGTCCTGCCCCTGCTCGCAGGCTCCTGAATATGTCTCTGGGTTGGTCTCCCTCCCTCCTCACCGGCACTTCTTGGAACGCCTTTCATTCCAGGCCAGAGGTCACCCAGCGGCCAGGCTAGGCAAGAGAGAGGGCCCTACACCAAATTCAACACTATCTGCACCTGCGGCCGTCCCGGGGCAGCTCCCCGGGGGGAAAAGACACACTCCCAGTTCAGCAATAGGCCTATGATTTATATGCAGAGAGCCGATGGGGCACAGAAGTCGGGCAGCCAGCTTGGACGTTCCCCTGGGGCTGCGGCTGGGGAGGATTCCGTGCTGGTCCACTCTCCTAGTTCCAGCTATGACCTCATGGGTTCCAGAAAGGACACTCCCCACCCCACCAGGGCAGGAGGCAGTGATGTGTGTCAGAAAGAACACAGGCCCAAGAATCAGGCCCTGGGTTGAAATCCCCCTATAGGCTAGCAACATACCTGCTCTAAGCATCAAAGTTCTCATCTATAAAACGAGGTTAAGACCACTGGGCCAGGGCACTGGGGAGCCACTGCAAGCTCCTGAGCCAGGATAAATACATCTGATCAATACACTTCCACATGCTTGGCACAGACTAAGTGGTAGATAAATCAGCTCGTTGCTCTTATTTCTGGGACTCCTTAGCTCACCTTGAGACAGTGGCCTGGCCAGGGAGGGGGAAGGGCCGAGAGGAGTGGAGAACCTCTTGGTCCTGTCCTTTAGGAGGGCGGGAGGTGCTCCTATCCTACTGTTCTGACCTCTGGCTACTGAATAAGAATTTGCAGGACAACCTGACACAGAGGCTAAGAGGCTGGCTTTGGTGTCAGGAAGACGTGTGTTCAAATCTTGGTTCTGTTACACACCAGGTGTGCTGGGGTGAGTCAGTCTCTGACTCCCTCATCTGCAAAATGGTGACTGTAAGACCCACCTTGAAAGGCTGCTGGGAGGTTAAATGGGGCAGCGAATGGATAGGAGCTGGCAGGATGCGGGGTGCATGTGGCCCTCCTTCCCCCCCCTCACTGGTCCTAGGCAGCCCCTCCACGTTTTCTTGGGTCAGTGAGGCCTAGTGATGCAGCTGTGTTCCTGGTCCTTTCCTTCACTCTGCAGGGCACTAGGGGGTGGGGGTGAGATTGAAGCTTGCAAACTCTAGGTCTGACCTACAGGAAAATTGCCACATGAGTTCCCTGATTGGGGTAAGCAGCTGCCTCCAAAAGGGTCCTCTTACCTCCAGAACCCCTTCTCCTTTACCCAGATTCACCCTATACATTGCTACCTAACCTAAAACCAGATCTAACATGGGTCTCTTCCCAGCTCAGGCACCTACAATGGCTCCCTAGTAACCATGCAATAAGGAATGCACACTCCTGCTTCCATCCCTTTCATGTGTGATCTCTCCATGGCCAAGAAAGCTGCTCTGTGCATGTGGGCCTGCTCAAAGCCTACACATTCTGCAAGGTCCACCCCTTGGTGGCAGCCTTCCCTGATTCCTCCCGCTAACCTCTTCCTGCCACAGCATTTTCGTGGGCTGCTGGCTTGGGCACCCTCCACTCCCTCCCTGCAAGGTGGGGCATGGTCTTACTAACTAGGCTGGGAGTTTCTTGAGGCCAAGGATTTCCACTGCTTCGCTTGTACTCCCTCCCTGCCAACCTTCCAATCTTGTCCCGAGTAGTCCTACAGGCCAGAGCCCCCAACCCAAATGGGCCACTTGCTGTTCCCTGAGGCCTACTTATATACCCCTACTTTTGTGACTCTTCTAGAAACTCTGCCAGGAATTGCACCCCCCCATTCCACATTCTCCTGTGGAAATTGAGAGTCCAGCTCAAACGGCTTGTGGCTATGGAGCCAGGCAGAAAACCTTACCCTGGTCTGAAGTACAGCTTAGATGCCTCCCACTTCAAGAGCCCTTTCCCAGCCCGCCGGTCCATATTCTAGGCACTTCCCCTCTGCATCCCCACCTCCCAGACAAGGCTTGTCACTTTTATCACACACTGAAGAGCCATCAATTCCTGGTCCCTGTCCCTTTTGATCTGCATCTGTGTCTTCCCCATGCTCAATAAACAGCTGCCAAGTCAAAATGGGGAGGCAGGAGGGCAGGAGGCAGGCTGATCT